TAAACAGGTTATATCAGACAGTGGTAACATCAAATGTCTGATAGAAATAAACGTGAGTCCAAAAATTAAAAACTCTTGTCTCTTAAAATCGAGGAGCAGCTTTGAAGGTACGAAATCATTGTATCTGACCTTTGAATTCCAATAAGAAAGTAAACGGACATTGTCCTTTACTATATACATGTTACCAGTGTCTCTTTCTTACAAATAAATATAGCTGTCCTTCTTTTGTTTTATATAGAACTACCGAGCTACCGTATCCGTGACAACACCCATTCTGTGAGCTAATACCAAGTAAACGTTGAATAGTTAATGCCAGGCTGTAATAGTGACAGCAGGCAGTCAGCCATCTACATTTACATCTCTATGCTACAGAACCCCTGGTGTGTAAGGTAGATGTATCAAACAGAACATGTGTCATATTTACTTCTGCGACGTGCCTAATGTTCGTGACATCTGATTACGAACGAAATGAGTTAAATAGAGATTTAGAATGTTCTGAGAAAGACGGTGGTGGCAGCAAGTAGAACTAAAACAATAAAACAAAAAATAATATTTATCTACTCGTAAAAATTTATTCTTTAGATAACCCAAATAACTATAATGAAACAATGCATTTTTAAACATAATTTCCAGAGTGACGAACCGTTAAATTTGGGAATATCAGTGAATACCATAACTATATTATTAAGTACGTTAAAGTGGATATTGTTCCTATATTATCACGTATTGACGGTGGATATCATACGCATTTTATTATCTACATACACTAGATACCATATCTACATTACTATGTACATTACCCCCCCCCCCCAGTTGCACAGCGGTATGTTTGTGGATTTACAACGCTAGAAACCGGATTTCGATACCCGTAGTGGGCAGAGTGCTTACCTTCAAACAAACAATCAAATAAACCTATGTACATTAATGTGGATACGATATCTATATCATCATATACATTACAGTGAATACCATTGTGATATTTCAAGGCTCGAAATAAACAGAGCATACTTTTTACCTGACATTAATGTGGATACGATATCTATATCATCATATACATTACAGTGAATACCATTGTGATATTCCAAGGCTCGAAATAAACAGAGCATACTTTTTACCTGACTACCTCAACAATAAGATGCTCGAGGATTTAGTATGAGGAAGAACAAGTGTAATGATTTTAGTAAATTTAATGACTGAATGAAAATGGTAAGACTATTGAAACACACACACACACACAAACGCTTATTAACAAAAACAGAAGGTTGGTTGGAACAGCAGATAATCGGTAATAGAAATCGCTAATTTTAATAAAATAAATAACATGAAAAGGCAACTAGGAAAAGGGTAGAATAAAATAAACTGATCCTAAAAACTATTGGTGTAATTATAAACTGAAAGATCACTGGTCTAGAAGAACATGGATAGAATTGCAATATTAATCTTGGCTTTTCATAGGCGAAGCGAGATTTCAGAAAACACCAAACTGCTCTCACAATACACACTATTTCTAAAGATAACCAACCGCAAAACCGATTCACTTGCAACCGCTGTATCTCTGATTCGTATGATAGCCGTAAAATACAACTATCCCATGAAACAGCAGATAGCATCATTCACCAACTCCTGCTGTAGAGAGTATCACTTAGGGTTAGATTAGCGGGTGATTTTGTCTGGATTTACCAAGTTTTAAACTAAAACTAGAAAAAATTTAAATTGTTTTTATTATATTACATATAAATATCTACCACTATAGGAGATTGAGATAATATAACCCCTCCTCTTTTATTTTAAACTTATCCTCAGCTAACTTTAATTTCCCCGAAAGTGGGCCGAAGGCCACCTGGAGGAGTCACCTGTTTTAATCACTGTTTTAGTCATTGTTTTAATACAGTAGTGTGTTGTCTGTCTGTCAGTCAGTAGACACTAAAATTATGTCACATAAGGGACGTTTAACGTTGTGATTTGTACTGTCGTGACGTCAG